ATGCGCATCCACTGTCTGGAGAACGTTGACAAGGCTCTGCAGTTCCTGAAGGAACAAAAGGTTCATCTGGAGAATATGGGTTCTCATGATATTGTCGACGGAAACCACCGCCTCACACTTGGACTCATTTGGACCATAATCCTCCGCTTCCAGGTAGGAGGGCGTGGCTTTGACTAGAGGTGTGAGAGATAGAGAGACAGACAGGTGGAGTCTTTAATCGAGAGAAATAGCATCTTTCACTTGTTACTGAAGAAATGGCAACACCTGTTTTTAAGTAAATCAGTGTCCATGCCAATGTTTTGGTGCACTGGTTGTAGTTGTGTAGTGCAGCCCACAATATTAAATATAATCCTGACTTTGGAGTTTGATTCATAGACATACAAAAGTTTTTTGGCAGAATGTGTGATTATGTCATTATTGTGATCTTTTGTCTTTTATTAAAGGGCTAGTTCACCCAAAAACGAAAATTAGCCTGTGTTTTACTCACCCTCAAAGCATCCTAGGTGTATGTGACTTTCTTCTTTCAGACGAATCGAATCGGAGTTATATTAAAAATTGTCTTTGCCCCTCCAAGCCTTACAATGGGGGTAAGCGGGTGATGGTTGTCAACAGTTCAGAAGACGTGAAATAAAGTGCATGCATCCGTAATAAAACGTCCCTCACACGGCTCCGGGGGGATGACTAAAGGCCTCCTGTAGCGAATCCATGCATTTTTGTAAGATAAATCTCCATATTTCAAACGTAATAAACACTTTTTTCTCACTTCCACTGACTGTCATACGCGGAAGGCGTTCCGGCGGATGATGTAAGACGTCGATGTTGCGTGATTAGTGACGAACGTGGAGACAAAACGCCATTCATGAATTAGAAGCACAAAACTGACTAAAGAAAAATGTCGGAGGATTTCGATATAAGCCAAGAGGAGACTGGTTTTCCTTTGCTAAAGTAAGGAAACTTTGTTTCCTTGGCTCCTGCATTTCTCAGAGGCGCGGGCACGAAGCATACATCCTACGTCATCCGCCTGAACGTCTTCCGCGTACCACAGTCAGCGGAAGTGAGAGAAAAGTGTTTATTACATTTGAAATATGGATATTTATCTTACAAAAATGCATGGATTCACTACAGGAGGCCTTTATTCACCCCCCGGAGCCGTGTGAGGGTCGTTTTTTTACGGATGTGCGCACTTTATTTCACGTCTTCTGAACTGTTGACAATCAACACGCGCTTACCCCCATTGAAAGGCTTGGAGGGGCCAGGACAATTTTTAATATAACTCCGATTGGATTCGTCTGAAAGAAGAAAGTCACATACACCTAGGATGCTTTGGGGGTGAGTAAAACACAGGTTCATTTTCATTTTTGGGTGAACTAACCCTTTAACAAAGTTCAGTTATTTTTATTTGTCCTCGGCTGTATCAGTCTGTCATCTATTCACAATGAAGTATAATTAACATATTTTTGTCTGCCGCTTCTTTGCCCTTTTGATTGGCCTGTACATTTTTTAATCAGCTCAAAATTCCTTCAATTGAAATATACTAACTATCAAACCACGTGATCCAGACTGCTCACTGCGTTTCATCACTGCTTTTGATTAGTTTGTGAAGATGTTGCTGATTTGTGTTTTATTATATTGCTGCAATGACATAATTACAGAAGATTAAACTTTTTATTTTTCATTATTTGCTGAATGAATCCCAGCAGATTATGAATTATGATAGGGATATAGTCTGAAATGGATCAAAATGACTTTAATAACAGACTTAGTGAAGCTTGGTAGTGTTATGTTCTGTGTTAGTGTGCGTGTTTGTCGCTATTTCAGTCTGGTTTAAGATATCTCTTAGCAAGAGTTCTGTTTGGCTGTGATATAGTAATATAGATCTATAGATTTTAGAGTGGCACACTGTTAGCATGAGGGTACGAAAGCTTAAGAATTTAGAGTATTATTTTATTATCTACCTACAGTTTATTTTATGTATTAATCATTTATTGTATATACAAATTGGTATTTACGCATAATAAGAGATGTTTTTGAGCATCAAATCCACATAGAATGATTTCTGAAGGATCATGAAACACAGAAGACTGGAACAATGCTAAAAATTCAACTTTGCCATTACAGGAATAAATAACATTTAAAATATATTAAATTAGAATTTAAAATTAGAATATTTCATTCACACTATTATTGTTTTTACTGTGTGCTTAATTAAATAAATGCAGCTTTGTTGAGCATAAAATGCTTCTTTTAAAAATATTTAAAAAATCTTGCCAACCCCAAAACTTTGGAACGGTGTTAAATCACTTAAAGGCCATGAACACATCACAGCTAAATAAAGCTGTCACTGCTTTCATGAGTGCTGAATCATGTATAGTACACACATAGTGTTTGGTTATTTATAGGAGTGACAATTGCATTCTACAAATCAATTTACTGCCAGAAATTCAGGTAGTGGTTACAGTGTTTATGTTAAATTCTCAGTAGTGTCTACAAAACTGGACTCAACAGCTTATAGAACATAAACAAAGACAGCATCTATGTTGATTGGTGTCTAGTAAAAAATGTTTAAAACTCTCCAATCCTCCAAACTTAGAAACTAAACTACAAGGAAAAGATATGCAGTTTATACAGTAACATGTATTACATCTCACTTGTTTGAACAGATCCAAGACATTAGCGTTGAGACAGAGGACAACAAGGAGAAGAAATCAGCCAAAGATGCTCTGCTGCTGTGGTGTCAGATGAAGACTGCAGGGTAAGAGTGAAAGAGAAAGAAATGAATTGAATGAGTGAATGTATGATGCTTTATTAAATACACTAGTTCTTCTCCTGTACTAATGAATGCTACTCTCCTTTCAGCTACCCAAATGTCAATGTCCACAACTTTACCACCAGCTGGAGAGATGGTCTAGCGTTCAATGCCATAGTGCACAAACACAGGTATCGATCTGAGCTCACAAACACACACACTGACATACAAGTACAAAGTTCTCAAACACATGACAAGCTTTGGTATTACTATGATTTCCACATAGTAGCATGTGCTCACACACTCTACGCCCCTTCATTCTTCAGCATGTTCCCACACATACAGAGAGGCCTGCAGGGGCTTCAACCACCAGCGGCATTCTGGAATTTTAACTTTGTTCTCCAAAAGTGCATATAAATACAGAAGTCTTGAGACTTGTAAATTGTGTAAAAGCCTATGTCTATATTTTTTGGACATTATAAATTGACATAACTCTTTTTCTTTTTTTAATTCAGCTTTTCTCTTTTTTATACTTCTAATTTCAGTTTAATTTAATTTTTTATTTAATGTAATGTATTCATTATGTAAAAAAAGTAGAAGCATGTTCTTGGTCTCAACTGTATTTACTTTATATTGTACAGTATTGTATGATTTGTATATTTCGTCTTTCTTCTTTCTAAGAAATCATTTCATTTATAAATTAATTGGACCCAGTAGGATTTTCTGCTGCTCTCATCCTCAACAGTCCCACTAGCTCCTCATTTTTGCACTTTTCCTCTCAACTGTGGCCCAGCAGCTTCTTTCTGCAATTCTACAATATCTTTCTGCAAATTCTTTCTGCAATTTTTTCATGCAGAGGAACAGAAAAAAAAAAGTTGAATTAAGTTGACCTAAATAAGGAGAGAACAATCCTTCACTTTCTCTTTGCAGTGTTGGAGTGCTTCCCTCTTTTGTTGGAAAAGTGTATTGCAGGATTTTTCAAACTGAAATGTCCTCTTGGAGTTTTACAAACCCAAAATAACTTTATTGTGGATTTCTTCTTCCTCTCTTTCTCATTTTTAGGCCAGACTTGATTGACTTTGATAATCTTAAGCGCTCTAATGCCCACTATAACCTGCAGAATGCCTTTAATGTGGCAGAGAAGGAGCTGGGTCTTACCAAGCTACTGGATCCAGAGGGTGAGATAAATATATGGGCATAAATAGCAAATACATGCATAATTTTTAATCAGACAATAAAGACAGAGCTACCGTCAAGCAAGCTGATAAACACAGAACCTTTCAGTGTCCAGAAAGACTAGATTTGCCTAATTAAAAAAATGAACATATTATTTATTATTAACTAGCTGATGTATTTGTCTTATCTCTTGTTCTTTAGATGTGAATGTTGATCAGCCTGATGAGAAGTCCATCATCACATATGTGGCCACATACTACCACTACTTCAGCAAGATGAAGGCGCTCGCCGTAGAGGGCAAGAGAATCGGCAAGGTACATGGAGAGCGAGAGAGAATTACAGTCTACCCTTATGTTTACATAGCCATTTCCTGAAGCATTTCTATTTCTGCAAGTGTGGGTTATTATTCTGTGGAGTGAATAGGGGTGTATTTGTTTCTGTAGGTGCTGGACTATGCTATCGAAGCAGATCAGCTGATAGAGAAATATGAGACTCTGGCCTCAGAGCTGCTGCAGTGGATTGAACAAACCATTGTAACTCTTAATGACCGTCAGCTCGCTAACTCGCTCAATGGGGTTCAGAACCAGCTACAGGCCTTCAATACATACCGCACCGTGGAGAAACCACCCAAGTGAGTGATGTCCACAAGGATAAAATATACTGTAAAAGAGTGATGTAAAGCCAACATAGTCATGTCTGACCCGGTTTACTTTTTAATGCACGTACCTGGCCTTACTGATCAAGTGGTGCATGTAATTCCATAGCAGAAAATTCTATGTGATCTTCAATTAAAATGTAACTTGCTTTTACTCTAAAATGACTTTTCTTTTCTGCTGACATCAGCTGTGCATTCACTGCAAAAATTGTTTTCTAACTTGGTATATTTGTCTTGTTGTCTAGTACAAATATCTAAACATTCTAAAATCAAGAAACATTGAAACCTGAGAATCAAAATGGCATAAGCTATTACTCAAAATATTAAGGTGTTTACTCAAATTAGTTTCTGCTTACAAAAAAAAAAAATCTGCCAGTCTGGTAAGAAAAATAAAATAATCTTATTTTCTCTTTGAATTAAGCATTTACCCCATTGGTAGGTTGGTGGATATG